GCCGACCTCTTTTTAGGATCAACAAATCAATCCACCGACCTGGGAGAAACTCTGCCACAATCGACCGATCTACAGAATACCAATGTTGAAACATCATGTTACAGCTGGCTAAGAGTCCACATCACACCAACTCCTTTTTCTTCGTTAATGTGTCCTTGTTCACAACCGTTAGCCCTCTGTGTGCTCGCTCCAGTCCAAGACTGACTGCGCAGTTTTTGGGCTGTGGAATCACGAAGCCACTGTGGACATGAGACATTAATTATCGCGCTCTCGCCCTCGAGGTTTTAAATAAAGTTTTTCCTAGATGCCTTTAAAAATCACTGACCCCTCGGTGCTCCATTGCTCTGTAAAGAACCAGCAAAAGAATGTCATCGACAGGGTTAACTACAAATACTTAACAGAGTACATAGACAATAGGAACTGTTATCGCGAGCGCTAAGGACAGAACCGTCAATCCCAGGCTATGGATATCAGGATAAGATCAGAGTTAAGAAAGAATTAACGGTAACAATCGGGAGATGGCACCAAAAATATCCTCCTAACCAAAGCAGCCTGTCTTACGGGACAGGTGGTAGTAGGGGTTTTATATGTGGTGGCTGGTCGGGATGTACGATACTAGCCGACAGAAGGCCTTATTTGAACAGCTGAATGATCGAAGTTGGCCCGCTCTCCGTTCCGTTATTACAAAATGGGTCGCCAAAGGCAGTATAGTGGTAACGGACGAGTGGAAGACGTATAATCGTCTTCCCTCAGAAGGTTATCTACAATTCTCTGTTAACCACTCAGAGAACTTCAAGGACCTTACCGCCGGACGGCACACCAATGCCACTGAGACATACTGGAGTAGACTGAAAAGGAAACTCCACGAAGGAGGCCCTGTATGTGGTCGAGCTGTGTGGGCTCATATAGACGAAGTACAGTATCATCTTTGGTTTTGCCTCAATGCCATGTCTTTTACAGATGCCTGGAAACTGCTCCTGTCCCATGTTGTGCAGACTTATCCTATTTAAAAGTGATTTTGTTTTGTAATAAACTGCCATAATGCGAATGTATGCCGTATATTCAGGTGTACGTGTGTAAAGATGGGGAAGGTTGGGTAACAGCGACCATCGTCCATGTAACCTCGCGCGATGTTCGTTTGGCCAGCCCATGTTAGGCCGTCGGGGAAAGTGCGTGAAAGTAGGCCTGCAACCGCTGATATAGCCTGAAGGCGTTTGAGTCCACTGTTAAAGGTATTATTTCTAGGTAACGAAACCTTTGGGTGCTATCTCCCGATTGTTACCGAATTAACAATCAAAAGTCAAACGACCTGACAATCCAACACATGCCAAGCGCGTCACGTCGTGTTGTGCTCATTCCATTCAGTTAAATAACCAGTAAGTTCAAGAATGAAGAACAGGTACGGAAAGGCAAGAAAGTCTGGCGCCTCGGCACAGTTCCCCCTCCGAGACCGGAGGGCGGCGAAAACGACGCCGAAGGATATGTACAAGTCTAAAAGAAATGAATGACCAATCGATCAGGAAAGTGTACATGACGACCACTGAGAGTGATATATACAGGGTCCGTAGACGAGTGAATACATCTGGTGGCGGAAGTGTTGGAGTTGGTGGTGGCGGTCGTAGGTAGCAGGCAGGAGGGCAGAGGGAAAATACGTGACGGTGGAATAGAGGCTGCAGGTAGGGAGGCAGAATGTAGAGGACCAAAGGGCCTTGAGGCGATCCACAGTCACTACCTTTTCACGATTGTCGCGTTGAATGCGGAAAGTCTTCATCCCGCGACAGAGCACTCGGAATGGGACGTCATAGGGCGGTTCCAGAGGCCAACGGACTCGATCACATCGAAGGTAGACGTGCGAGCACGTTGCCATGTCCTTCTCGAGATAAGACGGAGAGGCGGAGGACCTGGGAGGAACCGGAGAAATTGCCCGCATAAACTGCTGGAGGCGATGCAGGAGGTTGATGGGATCCTCAAATGCACCTCGTGGGGTTGGCGAGATCATCTCACCGGGAGTCGGACGGTGGCACCTAACACCAGTTCAGCTGCGGCACAGTCAAGGTCCAGCTTGAGAGCGGAGCGGATGCCCAAGGGGACCAGGGGAAGGTGGTCCGTCCAGTTCTCCGGATCGGCCGCGGGGCGTAGGGAGGCCTTCAGCTGGCGGTGAAACCGCTCGACCATCCCGTTAGCAGCCGGGTGATAGGCTGTTGTCCGGATTCGGGTACAGCCTAAAAAGGAGGGTAAAGACTGGAAGAGGTTAGACTCAAACTGGGCACAACGGTCAGTCTTGATTATGGAGGGTGCACCAAGGATAGCAACCCAACGACTAAGAAAAGCCCTGACCACCGTTCGAGCAGTAATGTCAGACAGGGGAATTGCTTCAGGCCACCCAGTGAACCGATCCACACAGGTGAGGAGATAGGAGCAACCATTGGACAGAGGCAGGGGGCCTACAATGTCCAGGTGAACGTGGCTCAACCTTAAAAGAGGGCCGGGGAAGGTGCCAATAGGGGCCTTGTTTTGCCGCTGGATCTTACTCCGTTGACAGGCGATACAAGCCCGTGTACATGCTTTAAGGTCTTTGTGCATCCCAGGCCAGACGAAGCGGTCGGAAACCAGCTTGTCGGTTGCTCGACTCCCAGGGTGAGAGAGATTGTGCAGGGAGGAGAAAACTTTGTGGCGGAGAGATGGTGGCACAAATGTACGATGGGAATTGGTGGATACGTCGCATAAGATGGTGCCGTTGCCAGTTGTCAGTGGTAGTTCCTGAAGTTGGAGTCCGGAAACATCCTCATCACAGGGTGAACCGACATGGCGTTCTTCAGCGGCCATCCAAGCGAGGTCTATCCCGGGTGAAAGCTGAAGTTGAGCAATGGAGGGCCTGGAGAGTGCGTCAGCCACCTCATTCCGTGACCCGTCAATATGGCGGATGTCTGAAGTGAACTGAGAAATGTAGTCCAGGTGGCGGATCTCCAGGGGGCATAACTTGTCAGAGTGGGAATGTATTTCAAATGTAAGTGGCTTATGATCTGTGAAACTTGTGAACTCTCGACCTTCGAGTAAATGCCGGAAATGTGCTGTAGCGCGTTTCCGCCATGGATAGTTTCCTGGAGAAGAAAGGCAAAGGCACGGTAGAATCTGGCAGACTTTGTTGAAGAACCGCGCCAACAGCAACATTGGAGGCATCGACCATCAGAGATATGGGTGCATCAGCATGAAAGTGAGTCGGGAGGTTGGCATCAGCCAAAAGGGCTTTTACCTGCTCAAATGACGTGAGTGCTGCTGGTGTAAGTCCAAAGGTGTGCTTAGAACCTGGGAGGTGACTGGTCAGATGTAGGATGGTATCGGCACAGTTCGGGAGAAACCGGCGATAAAAGTTCACCATACAAAAGAAACCGTTGCAACTGACGCTTCGAGGTAGGGAGTGGAAAGTCCCGAATGGCAACAGCCTTTGAGGGAAGAGATTGAATGCCTTTTGGTCGATCAGGTGACCTAAGAACTCAAGAGTAGTGGCTCCTAGGACACATTTAGCAGGATCCAGCGTGACACCAAACCGCTGAAATCGGACGAAAAGCAAGGTAAGGTGTTGGAGATGTTCCCTGATATCTAGACTGGCGACGAGAACATCATCAATATACGCATGAACAAATGGAAGGCCACGTAAAACACGGTCAGTTAAAGGTTAAAAAGCCTGTGAGGCATTTCGGAGACCAAATGGCATATGAAGGAACTAAAGCAAGCCAAAAGGAGTCGTCAATGCCGTCTTGGGAATGTCCTCAGCCGCAATTGGAATTTGATGAAAAGCCCGCACCAAATCGTTCTTCGAGAAAATGGTTTTGCCGAAAAGGGCTCCAGCAAAGTCCTGAAGATGAGGAACGGGGTACCGATCGGGCATAGTGATGTTGTTTAGGACTCTATAATCGCCACAAGGACGCCAATCATCCGTATTTGGTTTAGGAACCATGTGCATAGGAGATGCCCAGGGACTGTCAGACTGTCGAATAATCCCTAGTTGCAGCACGTGGCCAAATTCAGCTTTAGCAGCTGCAAGACGCGCGGAAGCACGACGGCGGGGACGAGAGAAAATGGGAGGACCAGTCTTTTTATGTGATGAACAATATCATGGGGCAATGAGGTGTGAGAGAAATGGGGCTTAGTGAGAATAGGATATTTTGCTTAAGGTCTACGAAATGGCCAGTCAGGGTTTGCGTCAAGGACGGATAAGTGGTTGGAAGTTGAGCATGGAGGAAATTCCTTGACGGTGAGGTTAGTTGCGCGGTCATGGAGGCGAAGTTGCCTGCAATCCACCAGAAGGTCAAAGGCGGCCAAAATATCAGCACCAAGCATGGCGTTGGGATCATCAGCAACCACAAATATCCAGGCGAATAATCGCCGGAGACCAATATCCAGAGAGAGGGATCGAAGTCCAAAGGTTGTAATTGGGGATGAGTTTACGCCTTGATGACCATGGTTTGAGAAACGTCGGTCGGCTGGCGTGAGAGCGATAACAGTAATTTGAGCGCCAGTGTCGACTAAAAGATGCCTGCGACTCGTGTTATCACAGACGTAAAAGGTGAGACCCGTAGAGTTGCCAGGGACCTCGGCCGCATTTACTCTCCGGTCGAGGAGTTTCCCTGTGTGGACTAGAAGGAGCGGGGTGGGACACAGCGCCAAGCCTTATCGCCATAGTTGACATGACACCAGCATAGGTTTGTGGTGTTGGGGCGAGAGCGGGAACGACGACGGTCACGACCGAAGGAACATCGAGAGGGACCGGGGATCGGCGCAGCTGCAAAACGGCAACAGTCGCTGATAACTGGGCAATCTGTGTCTTTAGTTCAGCCGGGTCAGAGGTGGACACGGTGAGAGGCTGGGAAACCTGAGTAATCGTCGGCGATGACAAACGCTCAGCCTCCGTCATACGGTCGGCCATCTTAGCTAGCTTTGATATGTCTAGGTCGTCTGAGCCAGAGGCCAAGATTGCTTGTACCGACGTCGGCTGACGTTCTAAGAACATCTCTGTAAAGAACTTGTCGTCGATGGCCATCTTCCCAACGAGAGAACGCATACGACGCAAGAGTTCCGACGGCTTGCGGTCACCTAAGGCCTCCTCTTTTACCAGTGCGTGATAACGCTGCCGATCGAAGACTGATGTCAGGCGAAGGAGTTCAGCATTTAACTTGGTGTAGGGAGCATCAATCGGGGGATCTCTCAGGAACGTCTGCACTTGGGAAAGAATGGTAGGAGGGAGGGCCTCGGCTAATTTATAATATTTGTCTATTTCGCGTGTTATCTTGACGGAGTGAAATGTCGCCTCAATACGGGAAATATAAAGCTCTGGCGCATGTTGCGAAAAGTCTGGGAGAAACGAAACAAGTCCATTGAGTAATGTAGTGGCATCGTGGTAATTCGTAGTAGTAATGATGATAGAAAGAAAGACAGCAAACGGACTGTAGGCAAATAGAAATTCAACAAATTAAAGATATAAGTGCGAACGTCAAAAGTTCACCACGTCGCTAGCGCTAAGGACAGAACCGTCGATCCCAGCCTACGGATAGCAGGATAAGACCAGTGTTACGCAAGAATTAACAATCAGAAGTCAAACGACCTGACAATCCAACACATGCCAAGCGCGTCACGTCGTGTTGTGTTCATTCCATTCAATTAAACAACCAGTAAGCTCAAGAATGAGGAACAGGTAGAGAAAGGCAAGATAGTCTGTCGCCTCGGCGCGCTATCTGCAGAAATTTATTCACTGATTTCGATATAGCAGATTTTAACAAGGGGTAGCTGACGAAGGCAGAAATTACCTGCATACACGTAGCAAAGGAAGTCATGGAGAACATCTTCTGTTCCGAGATTTTACTAAATCACTTCAAACATCTCATCTCGCACGCGCTCATGCAGATTTTACTGTGACCTATATAGCCTCGAGCGTTGACCACAGGCGTGGAAAGTTAAAGCGCGAGTCCACGCGTCCCCGACCCTATTTTTTCCGTCTCCACAGTCGAACGGTGAACGCATGTGTCAACCGAGTACTTTCGAAATGACCGTCTGAAAGCCAAGGAAGGACTTGGCTTTCGTCGGTTGGCTGTTGTCACCAGGCCTCTGTTCACGACCCAACCATGACCAACTCAGCAAGCGGAAAAGTGACGAGAGGAGCAGTGCTGAGGCTGCTCCCGTTTGAACCACGGCGCGGCTGAAAACCAATGACTGTTGCCTTTCGGAAATGAATGTCCTCCGAAATTCTATTCAGAACGAGGATTCCAGTGCTCTTCTTGCATGGAATTTTGGATATCTGGCTTTGCCAGTGGAAGGTAAATGTTGAACACTCGGTAATAGCGCAATATGAGACTCAGGATTGTTTGTTGCATACTGCTGCATACTGAATTCTACAACAGTAGCGTCACTTTTCCAGCTTCAACAGATATGCCATCTGTTCGGTGACTGCACCTCCACACTGAAAACTTTCGTGAAGGCGAGTACTACGGATTCTTCTTCCACCAACTCATTTAGAATGGGTATGTTTTTCGATACACTGTCATCCATATCAGTGGTTTTGTTTCATTCTTCCCCTGGGGTTCGGATTACCTCTCGATTATTTGCCGTCATTACCGGACACAGACTTAACCACATTGCCTTTAGCGACTGCGACATCAATGCCATCCTTTGAGTCACTGTACCCACAAACGAAAATCTTTCATAAACGGCGATAACTAGAGATTTCCTTCCCCGCTCTATTAGGTTAAACTTACTTTTCGATAGGCTGCCATCTCTACCAGCAGTTTTGTTCCCTCCATCCCTTCAATAAGTTGCAGTCAAAGCGATCACGTGTACAACAGCGTTACTTTTAGCGGGTAAAACATCGATGCCATCAGTTCCTTGAATTCTCTTAGATTCGGTGTACCTCAGCCGGCTTCAATACGCCTCGATGACAACTGTGTGGCGGTCTGTTTCAGGATCCTTTAAATTTTTGGATTGGTTGACCATGTCGTGCTCGTACCCTTCTGTAGGTAGTGCAATGTATACCTCCCATTCGTCAGTACAGTGAATGACCGATCTCATGAAATGTTGGCTAAAAATCTGAAATGTGTTTTCGATTAGAAAAGTTTACTTAAGTGGGGTCAAATCATTCATTCTCATGGGACGTAGTCCAAATATATTTCGGTCTTGGCAGGATGTCAGCTTTTGAATGCTTTACATTTTAGTCTTCTGAATAAACCGTACTCGGTAAAGAATGACTACTTATGTGGCAGGCATTTTTAAATAATTCTCAGTGGTCTTGAAAATTCGAATGAATTTTGCAGAAACCCCAAACAGAATTGTGCTTTCATTTGGTCGTTTGGTAGAGAATGAAATCGTCTTTATATTTTTTACTCGATAGAAGAGTATACTTAGGTTTTAAAAAAGTTTCCTAGTTACCGAATAATTTTGAGCCCGATCAGCCGTTGCATTTGCGCTTGGCGATTTCAGTCTACAAGGTGCATTTGTTCCTTGCAAATGAAATCACACATTATTCTATGTCTTTAAAAAGATACTGTATAGTATCCATAAAATTTTGCAATGGATGCGGACCATGTTGTACATTTCGTGAGGAGCAGTGGTAAACAGACAGTTACTATGCTGTATGAATGGAAATTGCACAGTCTTGAAAAATCTTATAATTAGAAACCTTTTCAAAACCTAAGTATACCCCTTGTTCGAGAAGTTGTTTCGACTTCCCATCTTCAGAGACTGAAAAGTCCTACGCACAGCTCCCCTTATATGGCGCACTTTGTTCAATGAGTGACCCGCCAAGGCCGTCTGTGTGGCTGCATTCAACCGGCATGTCACCGTCACCCGCAATTACTTGAAACGTCGGACCTCCAATAAACCACTTCCGGTGAACCCCTCTCCTCCTTTTAATTAAGAATATTCTTCGTTGTTAATCGCCCCCGTTATTTTCAAATAAATATCAACTATTCGGACATTAGGCGTTATTACTGTGTGAGTGTTATATTTGGATTATTTTGGAGCTGCGGTGTTAAATATCTTCCTATTTTTGTTTGCCGGTCCATTTTCAAGGTCATTAACGGAACTAGTTTGGTTTATTCAGGTTTTTTATAACAGTCTTTGCAAAATAAGTTATTTCCGCCTGTCTACCTTGTCATCCATTTGCCCCGCCCGCATAACCCCTCCTTCCACCTGTTCCGTAAGACACGTGAACCTATCTTGGGTTATTTGGAATGGGTCTCATTTTGCGTCATTGGCTAACGTTCTACCGCAAAGTTTGCTTGAAATGGTGGATTGTAAACTGGGAGCAATTCTGAATGTTACTCATATACAAGCAATTTAACAGTCGCAACTGCCATCCTCTTTTGTCAATCACTCTGGCCTGCATTCAGCCTCCTGCGGAGATTATCGGTCCTGAATTGCTTAACGTGTCCACGCTTGCATCATATATATAAAAAACGGGACCTTGTTAGGGATTAAAAGCGCATAAAAAATCCTCCGTTGTTATTTTCAGAATTTCCTTTTGATTGCATGCAATATCGCTGCACTAAGGGGTCATTGCAGCCTCATGCTCGGTCCACTAGTCCCCATAAAATGTCCCCACGATGCGTGTGTGTTCAGGTGAATAGAGGTGTGGTGGTGTGATAAGGACTGTGGTGTTTTGGCTAGGTGAATGTCTCGTAGATGTGTAGGTTGATGACGCGGAAGCCACGGGTATATGTTGGAAAGAATGGTGGAAAGTAGTCACAGTTCGACTGTCATTTCTGACAATGTCCACCGTCTGTTCCACAGCAGTGTTAGAGCGAAAACAGTGACTTGCACCTAATAGAAGACTTGCATCGCATCGCTCGCGCTCTCTTCTCCTCCCCACCTAGGCTCGGACGCGAACGAAAATCAATGAGTGTGGAGTTCATGAATATTATTCTGAGCTACTCAAACCTACCCGCAGAAATCAGATATTAATGTACCACCTCCGCTTTAGGAGAAATATCTGACTGCACAGTATTAGGTGAAGGGGATCTACTCATCTGGCGAACATAACTACTGGTTCAGTCATCGAGGTGTTCCCAGTGACAGACGACAAAAAAGCAGCCGAATAACAGCTTGCTATGTGGACCAGGACACGAAAAAATGTATCACGTAGAATATGACGGTATTCCAGAGAATATGCTCCGTCTAGGTGACACACTAAAGGCTCTTGAATTTACGGTCGTGGTTAGGCAGTGATGTCGATATCTCCTGTGGATTTGTCGGTGCATTCGACACTGATGGTATTGCGTGTGGCACGTGAAATATGAAGTAGGGTAGGCGGGAGCTATTTAGACGCCGGGTAAGTGCTGAAATTTTTTTAACACACAGTGGATGCGCCATCTTATAAGATGCTAATCATGATTACCAAAGGTGTCTTCCAGTGAAGGAGATAGCTCAAGCAAAGTCGTGAGATTGATTGTCGCGCTGCATAATCACAGGATATTTCAGTCAGGTTAGGATTCTGACCCTTAAACAAACCGCTTTCAGACCGCTTGCAAAAGCTGCCCTTCGTAATATGATTCATAACTATTGACATTCTATGTCTTTATGCACCCGGATATATTATGTAGAAAACATGCCCATTAATATCTTTTATTGCGCTCAATTGGTAGCATTATTTGCGTCAAATTTTTATTTCTAAGGAAAGGATATTTTTCACTTTTAAATAATTTGTGGATTTTGGGATTTTTTAAACCGTTAAATGTCTGCCTATATAGCATCGTATCCGTCCGTTTAAAAATGCTGCTTGCAACGTATGAAATATGGTCCACAACCACTGCGAAATTTTAAGAGTCCCAGGTTAGTTCCCCTTAATGGCATACGTAAATGTGTGATCCTCCTTACAGGGAAGATATATAGTCTGTAGTTTAGAAACCCAGAATACAAGTGCAACGGCCAGTCAAGTCCAAATTAATTCAAAACTTGAGGTCTTTTAAAAACGAAAGATGTGCCTTCTTCAAACGCAAAATTTAAAGAAGTCTTAATCCGCTACTAACTAAGCCCAAAAAATATTGTTGAGCACTTTTTCGTGAAATATATTTAGATATATGAGGGCATCCAAAACTAATAGTCGAAATTCATTCTACATAAGCAATCATTTTTATAGAGTTCACTTTTTGAAAGAGACCGGTAGGAAATTCGTTAAAAAGCCGACATTGTGATGTGACTAAAGTACCTTGAGATCATAGTGGGTGACAGTTGGTCTTGCAACGATAATTGGGTAATCTTTTCTAATCGAATTTCGGTAAGATGATAGCTGGTAGCCGTGCCCACAGACTCCACAATGGGACGTACTGGCTCGATTTCAGTAGCTGTGATTGCGTTCTTATTATGCTTCTACATTCACGCGCACGCTGTTTCCTGTATCAGATTCATTTTAGAGGTGCTATCCTGGGCAGATTTGCACCAGCAACGATGACAATGAGGCTTACCCTGTATCAACTTTCATTAGAAGAGGTAGTTGGCAGTTGTGCCCACAGAATCCACAATTGTACCTACTGGCTTGATTTCAGTAGCTATGATTACGTTCTCATTATGTTTCTAAATTTACGCGCGCGCTGTATTACCTGTACCAGATTCATTGTGGAGGTACTATCCTGGGCGGATTGGCACCGGTAACCATGACAATTAGGCTTTCCCTACATCAACTTTCATAAGAAGAGGTAGCTTCTGACTGCCTCATTCATTGTAGAGGTACTATCTTGGGCGGATTGGCACCGGTAACGATGACAGTGAGGCTTACCCTTTATCAACTTTCATTAGCAGAGATAGCTTTCGACTGCCTCATTATTTGCGGATTTTCTCTGCTGCCCAAACCAATTTTTCACATAAAAGTCTTACCCGGCTTGCGTTGTGGCGTCCCGCGTGCCGCTGCTTGACTCTCGTGTTCTTCTGTCCATTATGTTGGATGGAGTTCTATCGCACACACTGCGGAATGACCTTCGGACCAGTTGCCTTCTTCCCATTGGTTGTTCGCCTTCACTTGCTTTTCTTTGCAATCTGAGGCTAGGATGCATTTATTCCGCACACCGTTCGAAGTCTCCTTGATCATTTCCATACTTTCCTTGTATTCTTCACCTAATCTAAATTACGCTTCCACTTTACCTGGAGCGTCAATTGCTAGCATATACTACAAACGCCATTTACCCGTCCACTCAATTGTTCCACCCGTATAGCCCCTATCACCACCGGTCCCGATTGACAGGCACCTGGGAGTTTGCAGTGTCATGAGGGCTACCAAGTATAATCTAACCCTAATTTCAATTATAATTCTATGAGACAGCACATTAACTCTATGTTACAAATCGAGAAATGGAAACGATCAGGTGGAGGAACACAAATTCACACGACCAGCGAAAGGTGCCTGTGTTACGGGAAACGTGGAAATAGGGGTTT